ATTATATATATAAATCAAGACACACGCACATACAAAATTACACTGCAGAGGGGCAGATATCAGAGACAGGCCACATGGTAGGACCACCAGGACCAGATGGCTGAATGCAGAGGCTGAGGCTGGGCAGGGAGACCAGTATGGCTCCCATGTTCTGGTGGTGGATGGTGGCATCACCAGGATCTGAAATAAAGAGGTGGAATGAGTACTGGACTCAGAGGCATCAGATGGCGATGTGGGATTCTTTAAAGTATATGAGATAGAGCCGGGCCCGGTGGCTCAGCCTGTAATCCCACGCCTTTGGGAGGCTGAGGTGAGTGGATTGCCTGAGCCCACGGGCTCGAGACCCGCCTGGGCAGCGAGACTTCATCTCTACAATAAATCAAAAAAAAATTAGCTGGGCGTGGTAGCGCATGCCTGTAGTTCCAGCTACTCGGAAGGCTGAGGTGGAAGGATCGCTGGACCCCAGCAGGTTGAGACTGCGGTGGCCGGGAGCAGCCACTGCACTCCAGTCTGGGCGACCGAGTGAGACTCCAACTCAAAAAACAAAAGTATATGAGATAGGTTGGGTAAGAGGAAGGTCTAGCGAGAAGCTGGCTGAGCCCTGGGTGGAGCCTTTACAGACCAAGTCAGTAAGGGAAGGGCTGGAACGGGCCAGCTGGATGTGCAAAGGAGAAGCCACCAGTGACTTTAGTGAGAGCTGTTTTAGTGGAGTGGCAAAGCCATACTATGAAAGATGACAGAGATACCTGGAAGGCAAGAGAAGGAGGCAAGCATAGATAGCTATTTGTGAAGTTTACCTGGGGCACCGGGAGCCCTTGCTGGTGGGCCTGGAGCCAGTTCCTATAGGTTCACAAGCGCCAATTGTTACATTTTCAAGAATTTCCCAAGCTGGTGCCTAAATGCAGCCATCATTAAAAATTAAGTTATATATGTTTACAATGAAGTAGCTTCTATTTTTAAAAAGGTAAAACTCAAAATAAGCCGGGCTCGGTGGCTCAGCCTGTAATCCCGCGCCTTTGGGAGGCTGAGGTGAGTGGATTGCCTGAGCCCACGGGTTCAAGACCTGCCTGGGCAGCGAGACCTTATCTCTACAATAAATTAAAAAATCAGCTGGGCGTGGTAGCGCATGCCTGTAATTCCAGCTACTTGGAAGGCTGAGGCAGAAGGATCACTGGAGCCCAGCAGACGAGGCTGCGGTGGCCAGGAGCGGCCACTGCACTCCAGTCTGGGCGACCGAGTGAGATTCCAACTCAAAAAAAAAACCCAAAACTCAAAATACATCATTTTACTTGAAGTGCTGCATCATATCCTATTTTACTACATTTTGCTGCCATATTTTTGTCTGTCCTATCTGTATGGTGGAAATATTATAGAATGCTGTGTTTCTGTGCCTCTCTTCTTAACTCATGCTGTTGGCTGGAAATCAGTTGTGGGGGTAGTAGTATTTACACCAGGGAAATTGGCAAAGGCTACAAATCAACACCCCTCATCCTCTTTTTGGAGAACAGTTTGCTATAGACTTACCAGCACGCCACTGACTTATGGTCCTTAAAGAAATCAGGGGCGATGCCAGCAGTGAGGAAAGCTGAAGCACAAGCTATCCTGAGGGCAGGGGGACCCTGAATGCTCATCCCCTAAGCAGTGTGGGTGCAGTACAGCAAGGGTGGAGGCATGGCAGCTTGATCCAATCTTTGAGCACTCATACCCTCCCCAACTTTCTTCAAAATCTTGCCTGAATGGTTGCCGCCAAGAACACAAGTGGCAGGAAGCAACTCTGACGATAGTTTCCCATCTATGCTGAACTGGGAATCTGATGTTTTTCTTGCTGAGATGAGATTAGTCAATGGTGCCATCTAGTGTCGAAGGACAGATGGGTGCTAAAGAGAAATGATTTGAAAAAGATTGCCCTCGACTGGGCCCTGACACGGTGACTTCCAGTTTCTTCTTCCTTTCTTTTCCTGTTTTTGCTTTCTCACCTCCGTTTCGCTACTTTCTGAGTCAATTTTCATCTACTCTCCAAACAAGAATAGCCATTAATTTTTTGAATGATCTCAACTTTGTGTTGCTCACAGGCAACCACTGGTAATGCCGAGTTGAATGGCATAGCAATGTACAAATCAGCACTTGTTTATACTATGTATAACAATTTGCAATGAATCTACTTAGGGAAGTTGTATATTTTTTCTTTGGTTCACATAGATCACATGTCTCTCTGCCTTCCCAACTAGTCTTAGATTCTCCCCATTTCCCAAGACAGGGCAGATGGAAGTAGTTCCGCCAACATGTTGTAGTTTAACAAACAACTTTAAGTCATTCCCAAGTTTTATTTCTGCTTTATAGATATTTTTGTGGGAAAATGGTAGCAGGAAAGGCTACCATTTTATGAGGCCCTGTATTAAGTCATTAATAACTGCATGCGGTTGAAGGCTCATAGTTGAAGAATCCTCTATAATTGGAATACAAATCTAGATCTGTAGTTCCTGCTTGAAAGGTTTACTTTGCACCTAGCATGTTGGAACAGTAGTATGGTAGCCCCTCAATAAAGTCCGTTTCCCTTTTGTCCCCTTAGAGATTGACAGTCTGAGCAAATTAAAGACAATTTAACTAATTGGTGGCCCAATGCTCTTGCTCCAAGTTTGCATCTTTTCATTATGAATAACTAACCTGTAAACCGAAGGCTATTTCAGGCTAGGCGTGGTGGCTCAAGCCTGTAATCCCAGCACTTTGGGAGGCCGAGGCGAGAGGATTGCCTGAGACCAGGGGTTCGAGACCTGCCTAGGCAACTTGGTGAGCCCTCGACTCTATACTAAATCAAAAAATTGGCGGGGCATGGTGGCTCACGCCTGTAGTTCTAGCTACTTGGAAGACTGAGGTGGAAGAATCACCGGAGCCCAGCAGGTCGAGGCTGTGGTAGCCATGAGCGTGCCACTGAACTCCAGCCTGGGCAAAGAGGGAGACTCCAGCTCAAAAAAAAAGGATGTTTCAGATGTTGTCAAACAGAAAATCAGTGAAGAGTAAACGCCATCCTCTGTAACGTGTGTAATGGAGCAGTCTGAAATCTGTCAACATGTCATTCTGAAGGTGTGGGGACTTTGAAGCGAAGTTAATGGTAGTTATGGAGATGAGGTTCAATCTTGGGATCAGACTTTCTCTAGGACACATTTTCAATGTTTTCAAAACCAACAAAAGTTTAAACATCTCATCTTCAGACTGCCGGACTATACGAACGCAAGGCTTTGTTTCAGGTGTGGGCCATGAACTTGGCAGTTCCATCAGCTGCTGTTTGTATAAGCAAGACTTCATCAATAGCTCTGTGTGCTCCCCCATTATACATGAAGGCAGTAATTCTGCTGAAGTAACTCTACAGGCTACAAGCTCTTCTTTAGAAGTAGGAACTGAAGCTCACACCTGTAATTCCAGCACTTTGGGAGGCAGAGGTGAGAGAATTACCTGAGCTCAGGGGTTTGAGACCAGCCTTGGCAAAATGGCAAGACCTCATCTCTACAATAAACCAAAAAATTAGCCAGGAGTGGTGGTGCATGTTGGTGGTTCTAACTACTTGGAGGGCTGAGGCAGAAGGATCGCCTGAACCCACCAGTTCGAGGCTGTGGTGGCTGTGAGCGCATTCCAGCCTGGGCGAGAATGAGACTTAAAAAAAAAAAAAGAAAGAAAAAAAAAAACAGTAGGAATAAGGCCTAGGTAGTCCCAAGGTCTTAGATGCTCATTAGACATTCCACTTCATCAAACTGAATGATTCTCTGCATTACCCAGCCTAAAGTCTTAGAACCATCACATCCTGGCTCTTTCCCCCACACCTGTATCTTGTGCTTGCCTATTCTCTGGAGAGGGTTATAGGTCGATTTCCTCTCACAGCCTGTTCTAAAAATGGGAAGCTCATCTCAATAGCTTCCTCAACACTCCCATCTCAACATCTCAAGTTGTAAACTATGTATTTCTATTTCTCTTATCCAGTTAGATACAACAATCATCTGCCTTTTGACTACTGAAATAGCAAAGTAAAACTTCATTCTCTGTAGTTTTCCCTTTACCATCCATTTTTATCTCAGAATCTTAAGAAACCGTGTGATCCTTGAGGTGGTCATGCTTTTCTCACTATGTAGAATAAGAGCTTTTACATCAATAATATTCAGTGTCTTTAAATATTCTTCTTTTATATGCTTATAGTTTACTTCATACAAGGTGAATGACTGTATGTAGTATACCATCATGTTTTACTTTTTTTTTTTTGAGTTGGAGTCTCGCTGTCGCCCAGACTGGAGTGCAGTGGCCGCTCCCGGCCACCGCAGCCTCGACCTGCTGGGCTCTGGTGATCCTTCTGCCTCAGCCTTCCAAGTAGCTGGAACTACAGGTGTGCGCTACCACGCCCGGCTAATTTTTGATTTATTGTAGAGATGAGGGCTCGCCAAGTTGCCCAGGTGGGTCTCGAACCTGTGGGCTCAGGCAATCCACTCACCTCAGCCTCCCAAAGTGCGGGATTACAGGCTGAGTCACTGAGCCTGGCTATGTTTTACTTTTAAATTGTTAAAATTTTCATAAATATAAATGATGCTGAAATGAACTTTCACAAAATTAATTTTGTATATCCATCTATAGTTTTCCCTTAGGATAAATTAAGTAATTTTTGCCATGTTAAAAAGAGCTTTTACATCTTACTGCAGGTTGAGTATCCCTCATCGAAAAACTTGAAATGCTCCAACTATCTGACACTTTTTGAGCACCAATATGACACTCAAAATAAATGCTCATGGGAACATTTTGGATTTCAGGTTAGGGATGCTTAGCAAATATCCCCAAATCGGAAACACTTCTGGGCCCAAGCATTCAGGATAAGGGACACTCAACCTGTATCCACTCCATTTCTGCTAACTAGCCCTTTGGCGGTTCTGTGGAATAAAAATAAATTCTTCAGATCACTTTGAGGAATTATAACCCCTGAAAACAACTGCTACTCCAATGTCAAAAAGGACTAGAACACAGACTTAAAAACCAAACCATTTAATTGTGTCTTAGAAGGTAAACAATATATGGAGTTGGCTCCCAAGCCCTGGGAACGCCAGAGCTACAGGTCCAAAATGTGATGCGGTTTTCTCGACAGAGTTCAGAAGGGTCAGAAGTTGAGGTGTTATGAGGCAGAGAACATATGGAATTCATGCATTCCATGTAGCAGTTTTGCAAATTACCAGAAACAGACCCCAAGTCTTTCAAGATGGGGAAAATTCATTTCCTGGTTTTACAGATAAAAGAATGAAGAGTACCCAGAATGTTGTATTGACATCTCTTCCTTTTTTTCACACCATCTGAAGCCTGAACTGACTATCACATCCCCAACTCACAGCAGCTGAAGCTGCAGCTTAGCTTTAAGACCAGTCCCTCTATCCGATAATTCACTTCCATGTGATGCCACGGCAAGGGTGACCGGAAGCCGAGAGCTCTCATCAGGACAGCTTTTTAACAAGCACTTGAAGTGAAAAAGAACCCTCTGGTGGCACACTGATTTAGTTTATAAGATTTTAATTTACAAATTAAAAAACTACAATGTTTTACTTTTTCTCCTTTTTCTCTTCTTTCTTTACATCACTCTTTTCCTTGTCTTTCTCCTTCTCCTTATCGTCTTTTCTATCCTTTTTGCTCTCCTCTTTTTCCTGCCCTTCTTTCTTTTCTGCATCCCGGTTGGCAATCTTGTTGTTGATGAGGTTGTGCAGGGCGACCACAGAGCGTATCAGAGAGGCCAAATACACCACAACCATTTGGTCATTGGTCTTCAGGTAAAAGGCTTTGACAAACTCCTGCAGGCTGACGTCTGGCAGCAGGTTGAAGACATCCTGCAGTTGGTAGATAATCTGGTGGTTGATGGGCAGCTTGCCTGTGGCTACTTTTTCCAGATAGCTCCTGATATCCAGAAGCTTGGAGTTCAGTCCCTTCAAGCCATGGACCTGGTTTGTAATCCGCTGGGAAAGAGTGCCCACTGTAGTGTCTTTGATGTCTCTGTAATACCCACAATAAGAAAGGGCAAGAAAAAGCATCAGCGTACCATATAACCACACAAGTTCTCACCTTTTAAGAAAACATCCACCTTTGTTTGAAGGGACAAGTTTTCAAAAGAAAAAATGATAGTTTTCCATGTGATAAAGATTTGGGTATAAATTACTTTAATTATGTTTTCATTTGGGGCACACATCTTATTTTTCTCACCACAGGACGTTTTTCAAAAGATGATTACAAGAGACAACTAAAATGAAATCATTTTCACTTTTAAAAAAAAGACTGTTTAGGCCAACAGTTCAGATCCTCCAATAACGTTATAAGGTAACCTTGTATTATGAAGCTATTCAACTCCCCTGACTCCTAAAAAGGGTAGCATTTTCTCCACCTGTGTCTCTCTCTTTTTTTTTTTGAGTTGGAGTCTCACTCTGTCGCCCAGACTGGAGTGCAGTGGCTGCTCCTGTCCACTGCAGCCTCGACCTGCTGGGCTCCGGCGATCCTTCCGCTTCAGCCTTCCAAGTAGCTGGAACTACAGGCGCGCACTGCCACACCCAGCCAATTTTGGATTTACTGTAGAGATGAGGTCTCGCCAAGTTGCCCAGGTGGGTCTCGAACCCGTGGGCTCAGGTAATCCACTCACCTCAGCCTCCCAAGGCGCGGGATTACAGGCTGAGCCACCGAGCCCGGCTCACCTGTGTCTCTTAAGATGTTTTGAGCTTAAGTCAGTAAGTAGTAATTTTTGGAAAGAACCTCATTGGTTGATAAAACGACTGCCTTTTTCAAGTAAGGAATAAATAGATACAGCATTTTAAAAACAAAGCCTATCCCAAGACAAAGATGTTCTGCAGGAAAGGGGTTCCATTCAGCAGAAATGACACCCAGCGGAGGGTGCAGGCCTGCATTTATTTCACATATCTGTTCCTGTCAGTCAACATCAGTTTCTGGACAAGGTGTGCTATCCACAAAGCCATTAATTGTAACGTGACACTAGAGATGATCTAGTTCAACCACCTCAATTTATAAACAAGAAAACAAAGTTCAGAAGGGACTGCGATTTGTTCAGAACAAGAGAATCCTTAGTGGAAGGCCAGGGTCAGAAGCCAGCTCTCTGCCCAGCTCTCTTCTTTACACTAAGTGGCTCCTCGGGCAGCTACAGGTTCTCACGCTGTACTAAGGTCTCACCGTAACAAGTGTTCCACTCCAACTTCTTCAGCTTCCTCTGCTCCAATTTCGCTGGTCACATGCTCAAATGTTTTCGAGGTTGGAGTTCCATCCTGGGAGAGAAGGCTCAACTATAGTTATTTACTTTCAACAAACAAACTGGCACATGTTCCTTTTCATACCTTGAGCCCTCTGTTTTAAATCAGCTCATTTCATTGGTGTGTTACTGTTTTCCATGGCAAGGGTGGGTAAGCTTAGCTCTCAAAGCTAACAGCATTATGGTGGTGCTCAGTAATGAAGTATGCTAGGGGATTATCAGTAGCTTGTTTGTATGCTATGGTGAAAACTAAATTGTTTTCTGAGGAAAATCTTTTTTTTGCAGAGAATCTTGGTATTCCAAGCCACCACTGAGGATGGACACTCAGGGAAGTTTCAGGTTGATTCTTAAAGTATATATTTCTGTCTAGAATGGACAATACACAGAAAACTTACTTTACACTAAGTGCTATAAACATTAATTGTTATTATTTTATTTAGGATAGTGTGAGTCCTGCCAGAGTCATTCTCTACTTTGGATGCCAAGATAGTCATCAATCTTTTTTTTGGTTTAAAAAGACAGGGTCTCAGTATGTTGCCCAGGCTGGTCTGGAACTCCTGACCTCAAGTGATCCTCCTGCCTTAGCATCTCAAGTTGCCGAGATTATAGGCATGAGCCACTGTGCCCGACTAAGATAGTCATCAGTCGTGAAGGACTTAACAAATTTGTAAGATTTCATGGCAAGCTCTTCAGGCACTAATTCTCTAATTTCATCTTTTAACATGTCCCTTTATTCCCTACTAAAAAATATCTTGCTTCACTGGCATGTGTATGAGCAACCTCAAGTTTTTTTTCTCAAGAGGCAGAGTAAACATTAACTACAAACAAATCAAGACCAAGGTTGAAAGTTTACTACAGCCAGGTAATACATTTGGATCTAGGTTCCCTGGAAGCTAGGCACAAAGAAAAACAGGTGGATAGAGCACAGTGTAAAAAACATTTGCAGGAAGCTGGCCTAAAATAGTCCCAATTTTAATACTGAATGTAAGGATAAGTACTGCATATCTAAATCTAAAAGCAGACTTTAATCCAGCCCTCAAGCTGTTGACTTTGGAAATTTAAGAGTGAGTTCTTTGGTAGATACCTAAGTACAAATATTTTGTGCTCTCAACAAAACACACACACAGACATTGTCACATCAAGTCCTATCCTAGAACTGAGTTAAACTTTCCTGGAAACAGAGAAAAGCTATATTCTGGCAGTTCTTCACTTGTATACTCAAAGCACAAGTGAACAAATCACACAGCAGGTACTGGATGCGATAGAGCTGAGCATTCAGATGTCAAATGATCATTCAGGTGTCAAATGATCACACAGACAGGTCTTGCCATCTAGCTTCTGGCAGATCTGACATTTTACAAATTGGAAACCTGTGATATCTGGCAATCTTCAAGGAGCAAAGGATACTGGCACAAAGGAGGCTCAACAGTGGAGACTGCATTAGATGAAGACCAAGCTCACCAGGCTCTCCATTTCCTCCATTTCATTTGACTACTTTAGACCTCAATTTCTTTTTTCTTTTTTGAGTTGGAGTCTCACTCTGTAGCCCAGGCTGGAGTGCAGTGACATGCTCATGGCCACCACAGCCTTGATCTGCTGGGCTCAGGGGATCCTTTGCTTCAGCCTTCCAAATAACTGGAACCACAGGCACATGCTACCATGCCTGGCTATTTTATTTATTTATTTTTTTATTTATTGTGGAGATGAGGTCTTGCCAAGTTGCCTAGGCTGATCTTGAATCCGTGGGCTCAGGTAATGCACTCACCTCGGCCTCCTAAAGTGCTGGGATTACAGGCTGAGCCACTGAGTTCGGCCTAGGCCTCAATTTCATTTGCAAAAGGGGACTTTAGATTTGCACAGTTCCCTTTATTTTTAAAATTTGTTGACTCAAAAACTCAAAGGGGAAAAAAAGTAAGATCACCCACCTTCTCTTTGTTATAGAGAATTTATTGACTTGAAAATGAAAAGAAAACAAACAAAAACACACATAAACATAATCACCCAATATGCAACAAATCTAATCTCCTAGGATTATAGCAAGATGACTTACATCATGAACTTCTTCCACAGAAATATATGCTTCTGTGGGCAGTCCCAGGTCCTTTGGCTTCACATCAATAATGACCAATACCTGGCAGAGAAACACATCTTAGCAAACCACCTCATGTCCGACTCAAAATGGGAAATTTCAGTCATTTTTCTAATGAATAGTAAAGCTATTTCATTCATTCAATTAGAAACGCACCAGAATTTTCAGCAAAAATGTGTTTAGATTTCAAATTATCTTATCATTTGCTCTAACTCCCCTCCAGCTGAGGGGCAGTACAGTGTCATTATATTTATTTGGTTTGTTATTTATTTAATTTTTCCCCCAGTGTCATTATCAAGCACAAGGACACGAGAGTCAAGAAAGCCAAAATTTCAATCCCAGATCCACCACCCATCAGATCTTGAAAACCATTCTGAACCTAAGTTTTCTCATCTATAAAGAGGATATGTAGTTACTAAGAGGATTATGTAAGATAACGCACACATGGCACTTAGCAGGTGTTAACTGTTACTACTAAATACATTAGGTTATAGTATACATCACAGAATACTACAAATTAACACAAGTTTATGGAGAAAAAGCAGTGAACTGATTTGCCACCCCAATCCTTCCTAGGATGCTCTTAGCTGGCCGGCAAAGAATATCATTTAAGAGTTTTAGAAATGGAGAGCACTTACTGAGTTAGGGCAGTATCTTTTCATGAGTTCATTGATGGCGATGTCATTCTTGTGTAGTTTAGGGCCTGTGTGGTACCATCCAACTATTCTTTCTCTGGCTGGGAAGGAAAAAATTAGTGAGTTTTAATTGTTTCATGAAGATACAACTCTTTCAAAAAGGATAAGAACATCAGTTGTTATGTCCTCTACCTTTCTGAAAATTCCAGACATCTATTTTCAACCTTGACATATTGTATTAAATCTAAAACTCAAAAAGAAAATTTTCAGAAAATAAGCAGTGTGAGAAATCCAGAGACCTCTATATCCCAAACTAGTTTAGGAGACCAGTCATTCATAAGAACAATTCCAAGGCAAAATATAAACAAACACAAGTTCATGTCACGTAAATGGCCACCGTGTTGCTGAAATAAGCATTTCTAAAGCATTGTGGTTGCTGTAATGAAATAAAATGGAAAAAACACACGACACGTAACAGAGATATATTTACTCTGGTGGTACTAGTGCTCTAGGGAAGGGTAAAATTTTTTTTTTTTTGAGTTGGAGTCTCACTGTCGCCCAGACTGGAGTGCACTGGCCGCTCCCGGCCACTGCAGCCTTGACCCACTGGGCTGTGGTGATCCTTCTGCCTCAGCCTTCTGAGTAGCTGGAATTACAGGCGTGCTCTACCACGCCCGGCTGATTTTTTGATTTATTGTAGAGATGAGGTCTTGCCAAGTTGCCCAGGCGGGTCTCGAACCCGCGGGCTCAGGCAATCCATGGTAAATTTTACTTGATAGCTCTCTACACTGCTGTAATCAGAGGGTTCCTCCCTTGGCCAAACCCAGAAGGCCTATCTGGCCTTCAATTGCTACTCTAGTTTTTCATTTATTGTACCTCATTCCTCTGCTACCACTAGTCTTACTTAAGTCTAGCTAAGTCGAGGGGCCCTTGACATTAAAGAAAAGGGAATAGTTATACACAAAAAGAAAACTCCCACATAAACATACACATAGATCAATGCCATGCTTTAACACCTCAGAAAATCAAGACATACCATTGACCTTCTTAAACATTCCATACATGTTTTCCAAATAATCATGGTCTAAAAACCAGACAGAATCATCTTTGTCATCCTCATCAAAAGGGACTAAAAGAAGAAGAAGAAGAAAAAAAAAGATTTACTTTAGGATACTAGAGAGAAATCTAGAACACAGGTCACAAGTAGAGACTCCTACGCCAGATCGGATTCACTTACATAAAAATCCAGACTCCAGTTTCCCAGAAAACTGGGAGCCCTGGCAACTACTGGCCAGAGCCCAACAGAGGCTATTCCTTTATAAAAGACATGTGCTTTTCAGTTTGCTAGAAGCCCCATCATTTCCTATTATCTCCCATTTGCCAAATCACATAAGTGGCTGGTCCTTTTAGACACTGGAGTTAGTGACCTCTAGTCATGCCAGCAATTATTCTGTTGTTGTTGCTGCATTAAGCATAAAAGGTTAACACATGGATATGCACTTGTAAAGATTCATGATATGCAGTAAAGGATAACATTCCCCATCTCTTCCCTTGCCATGGTTTACTGGCAGGGGTTGACAACTCTACCAGCTGGTTTTTATAAAGCTTTACTGGGATATAGCCACACTCATTTGTTTACATACTGCCTACATTTGCTTCTGGACTACAACAACAGAGATGAACACTTGCAATGGAGATCATGGCCTGCGAGTTTAACATATTGACTGTCTGGTCTAATGTAGAGCCTTCAGGCTCTTTTCCATACTTTAGCAAGTCTGAAATAGAATCTCTGGGTTGTAGTAAAATATGTTAAGAAATGTTTATTTTTTTTAAAAACCAACTGACACTTTAACCATACTAAGAAAAACTGATTTTTTACCTGCAAAACTGTTGGATACATCAAGTACTTTCTTTTGCCACGACCCCAAAAGAACACCAACAACGCGCTTCTGGTTTCCAACCTTGCCAATTCTGAATGAGAAAAGAGAAGGTCGACCTGGATGGGTATGTACAGAAACATGGACTTGATGCTCAATGGAAAACATCACTGGCACAGATATAATTTACCTGGGAACCAGCCTTCCTAAACAAATGTCACAGGGTTAGGTCAGTTCTTTATTTTAAATATAAGGGTTATTTACGAACTTTGTACTAATGCACACTGGCAGCTTTTACTTACCAATGACTACAAAGTAATACAAGCTCAAATTTTATGGAAATTTAAAATGAAGAATGAAAACTTCCCAGGCTTTAGGGTTTTAAAATATTACTTGGTTGGTGTTTGAAAACACATTTAAGTTATGCTACCACATTTAACTTTTTTGTTGCAGCTTTTCTTTCTCCTTTAAACTTTGCCCATGGGCGGGTGCAGTGGCTCATACCTGTAATCCCAGCACTTTGGGAGGCAGAGGCGAGAGGACTGCCTGAGCCCAGGGGGTCGAGACCAGCCTGGGCCACTTGGAGAGACCTTGTCTCTACGATAATAATAACAACAATAATGAATAGCTGGAGTGATGGCATGAGCCTATAGTTCCAGCTACTTGGAAGGCTGAGGTAGAAGGATTGCCTGAGCCCAGCAGGTCAAGGCTGCTGTGGCTGTGAGTGTGCCATTGCACTTCAGTCTGGGTGACAGAGTGAGACTCCAACTCAGAAAACAAAACAAAACAAAAAACACCAAAAACCTTTCCCCATGTTCTAACCATTTCAGGGATAAAGATGCTAGCATAGAACCAGTTTTATGGCCTGGCTTCTGGGCTGCCTGTTTTTCTATGAAACATCTGCTCCATGTTTACAAGCCCCACTAGATGCAACTTATTCGTTGTAAAGTCTAAGGACTCAGAAAGTGATTCTGACCCAGAGGCGTGAGTGTGCCATTTGTGGCTCTCTGATTGGCTGAATAGGCAGATGTCAGAGGTGAGGTGGTGACTGACCACACCTAAAGGAGGGCTGAATGAGAAAGATTTTACTTCAGAATTTCTGTCTCCAATTCAACTCTCCTCTGATTTTCTCCTAAGGAGATGCAAGTCTTTCAATTATATACTTCATCAAAAGGGCTAAAGAGAAAAAACAAAACCTGTAAGATTTAGTTTAGGATAGTAGATAGAAATCTACAGCATAAGCAGAGACACCCCGCACACACACCAGGTCTGATTCACTTACATAAAAATCCAGTCTTGCCGGGCTCGGTGGCTCAGCCTGTAATCCCGCGCCTTTGGGAGGCTGAGGTGA